TCAACGTTCTTACATCAATTTTATATAGTCATGTAACTATACGTAAGGCACCATCAACGTTCTTACAATTTTATATAGTCATGTAACTATACGTAAGGCACCATCAACGTTCTTACAACAATTTTATATAGTCATGTAACTATACGTAAGGCACCATCAACGTTCTTACAACAATTTTATATAGTCATGTAACTATACGTAAGGCACCATCAACGTTCTTACAATTTTATAGTCATGTAACTATACGTAAGGCACCATCAACGTTCTTACAACAATTTTATATAGTCATGTAACTATACGTAAGGCACCATCAACGTTCCTACAATTTTATAGTCATGTAACTATACGTAAGGCACCATCAACGTTCTTACAACAATTTTATATAGTCATGTAACTATACGTAAGGCACCATCAACGTTCTTACAATTTTATAGTCATGTAACTATACGTAAGGCACCATCAACGTTCTTACAACAATTTTATATAGTCATGTAACTATACGTAAGGCACCATCAACGTTCTTACAACAATGTTATATAGTCATGTAACTATACGTAAGGCACCATCAACGTTCTTACAACAATTTTATATAGTCATGTAACTATACGTAAGGCACCATCAACGTTCTTACAACAATTTTATATAGTCATGTAACTATACGTAAGGCACCATCAACGTTCTTACAATTTTATAGTCATGTAACTATACGTAAGGCACCATCAACGTTCTTACAACAATTTTATATAGTCATGTAACTATAAGTAAGGCACCATCAACGTTCTTACAATTTTATAGTCATGTAACTATACGTAAGGCACCATCAACGTTCTTACAACAATTTTATATAGCCATGTAACTATACGTAAGGCACCATCAACGTTCTTACAACAATTTTATATAGTCATGTAACTATACGTAAGGCACCAGCAACGTTCTTACAACAATTTTATATAGTCATGTAACTATACGTAAGGCACCATCAACGTTCTTACAACAATGTTATATAGTCATGTAACTATACGTAAGGCACCATCAACGTTCTTACAACAATTTTATATAGTCATGTAACTATACGTAAGGCACCATCAACGTTCTTACAACAATGTTATATAGTCATGTAACTTTACGTAAGGCACTATGAACGTTCTTACAACAATGTTATATAGTCATGTAACTATACGTAAGGCACTATCAACGTTCTTGCAACAATGTTATATAGTCATGTAACTATACGTAAGGCACCAGCAACGTTCTTACAACAATGTTATATAGTCATGTAACTATACGTAAGGCACTATCAACGTTCTTACAACAATGTTATATAGTCATGTAACTATAATGTATAGGCACCATCAACGTTCTTACATAACAATGTTATATAGTCATGTAACTATACGTAAGGCACCAGCAACGTTCTTACAACAATGTTATATAGTCATGTAACTATACGTAAGGCACCATCAACGTTCTTACAACAATGTTATATAGTCATGTAACTATACGTAAGGCACCATCAACGTTCTTACAACAATGTGTATATAGTCATGTAACTATAATGCAAGGCACCATCAACGTTCTTACAACAATGTTATATAGTCATGTAACTTTTACGTAAGGCACCATCAACGTTCTTACAACAATGTTATATAGTCATGTAACTATACGTAAGGCACCATCAACGTTCTTACAACAATTTTATATAGTCATGTAACTATACGTAAGGCACCATCAACGTTCTTACAACAATGTTATATAGTCATGTAACTTTACGTAAGGCACTATGAACGTTCTTACAACAATGTTATATAGCCATGTAACTATACGTAAGGCACCATCAACGTTCTTACAACAATGTTATATAGTCACGTAACTATACGTAAGGCACTATCAACGTTCTTACATCAATTTTATATAGTCATTTAACTATAAGTAAGGTACCATCTACGTTCTTACAACAATTTTATATAGTCATGTAACTATACGTAAGGCACTATCAACGTTCTTACAACAATGTTATATAGCCATGTAACTATACGTAAGGCACCATCAACGTTCTTACAACAATGTTATATAGTCATGTAACTATACGTAAGGCACCATCAACGGTCTTACAACAATGTTATATAGTCATGTAACTATACGTAAGGCACCATCAACGTTCTTAGAACAATTTTATATAGTCATGTAACTATACGTAAGGCACCATCAACGTTCTTACTACAATTTTATATAGCCATGTAACTATACGTAAGGCACCATCAACGGTCTTACAACAATTTTATATAGCCATGTAACTATACGTAAGGCACCATCAACGTTCTTACAACAATGTTATATAGTCATGTAACTATACGTAAGGCACCATCAACGTTCTTACAACAATGTTATATAGCCATGTAACTATACGTAAGGGCAAGGCATCAACGTTCTTACAACAATGTTATATAGCCATGTAACTATACGTAAGGCACCATCAACGTTCTTACAACAATGTTATATAGTCATGTAACTATACGTGAGGCACCATCAACGTTCTTACAACAATGTTATATAGTCATGTAACTATACGTAAGGCACTTTCAATGTTCTTACAACAATGTTATATAGTCATGTAACTTTACATAAAGCACCATCAACGTTCTTACAACAATGTTATATAGTCATGTAACTATACGTAAGGCACTTTCAATGTTCTTACAACAATATTATATAGTTATGTAACTATACGAAAGGCACTTTACAACAAGTTTATATAGTCATGTAAGTATACGTAAGGCACTATCAACGTTCTTACAACAATTTTATATAGTCATGTAACTATACGAAAGGCACCATTAACGTTCTTACAACAATTGTATATAGTCATGTATACGTAAGGCACTATCAACCTGCTTACAACCATATTATATAGTCATGTAACTATACGAAAGGCACTATCAACGTTTTTACAACAATTTTATATAGTCGTGTAACTATACGTAAGGCACTATCAACGTTCTTACAACAATTGTATATAGTCATGTAACTATACGAAAGGCATCATCAACTTTCTTACAACAATTTTATATAGTCATTTAACTATGCTTAAGGCACCATCAACGTTCTTACAACCATATTATATAGTCATGTAACTATACGAAAGGCACTATCAACGTTTTTACAACAAGTTTATATAGTCATGTAACTATACGTAAGGCACCATCAACGTTCTTACAACAATGTTATATAGTCATGTAACTATACGTAAGGCACCATCAACGTTCTTACAACAATTGTATATAGTCATGTAACTATACGGAAGGCACCATCAACGTTCCTACAACACTGTTATATTACTTAACACTAACTTTTGTATAGCGCCGATATCCAGTTCAACTGCTCAAAGGCGCTTTGTTTTTCCCTCGATCATTGTATGTCCATCACAACGAGGTACCCATTCACAGCTGGGTGGACGGGGACACATGGTCCCAGTACTTTGTCCAAGTTTTACTGCACCTTGCTGTGTTAGCACGTGGGTTGTTTTGAGTGCACAGGGTTGTGTAGTGTACACTAGGGGTTGTGACAACACTGAAAGAGTCTGCACACAAAGTTGACTCCAAGGATTTTACACCCGGTCAGAGGTGGGCTTAAACCAGACACCTCTAAGCTCGCTGGATTACTAGCCTGGCGCCTTAGACAGCTCGCCCACTGTCCCCCAGCCGCACCCCTCCCTCCCCACACACTACCCTCACCTCCTCTCTCTCTCTCTCTCTCTCTCTCTCTCTCTCTCTCTCTCTCTCTCTCTCTCTCTCTCTACAATCCCCCCAAGTCCCCTAAGTAAGGTACCTTCAAAGTTCCCAGTACAATGTTATATAGTCAGGTAACTATACGTATACTGAATTCCATTAGAAACGCATCACCCACGCTGATGATATAAGTTTTACAGACGTGAATGGTTCGAACCCAGACTGTCGTGTGAATCAGCTAACCATGTCACCTGAAAAGCATACAAAGTGAGAGCAGCATGCATGCAGGTGCGGTCACGTGACACATGGTGATCACATAACCACGAATTGTCATGTAGAGCATGGACAGATGACCCAACTGATCCGAAATTCAAGCAGGGTTAAAGTTTGACAATTTTCCGGTAATAATCACATGGCTTTTGGTCTTTTGTTCCATTGCTGAATTTGTAACGATGCCTCGATTATCGGCTGTTCAGAGAGAGCGAGCAGTGGGTTTGCTTAATGCTGGATTATCCACCAGTGCAGTGGCCGCACAGTTCAACTGTCACATGTCGACAATTGTTGGACTTTCCCAGCCTCTTCAACAAACAGGTAGCACTCGTGACCGTCAACGTCCGGGACAACCACGCCTCACAACCCCATATGAAGACCATTACATCCAGATCACCCATTTGAGGAACCGGTTCCAGCCAGCAGCAAGGACAGCTTCAGCAATCCGTGGGAGAAGAGGAAGAATCAGTCCTCAAACTGTGGGACGTCGTTTACGTGAGAGAGGGCTACGTGCACGACCTCATGTTGGTCCAATTCTGACACGTAGACATCGTCAGGCACGTCTCGCTTGGTGTAGACATCATCGCAGATGGACCAACAGAGAGTGGATAGGAGTCCTGTTTACCGACGAATCCAGATTCCACCTCAGTCACGCTGATGGACGTTTGCGTGTGTGGCGTAGACGCGGTGAGCGTTACGCCAATTGCTGTGTTTTGGAGGCTAATCGCTGGGGTGGAGGAAGTTTGATGATTTGGGGCGGGATCGGTGTATTTGACAGGACCCCCTTGCATGTCTTTCGAGGCCGTGTTACCGCCCAAACGTACACGCAGGACGTTTTAAGGCCTATCGTTGTCCCTCATATGATGGCCCTTCGACGTCTGCACACTCTGCAACAAGATAACGCCAGACCCCATATCGCAAGGCATACCATGGACTTCTTGCGACAGAACAACATCAATGCCATGCAATGGCCATCGCTGTCTCCTGATTTGGCACCCATCGAGCATGTCTGAGATGAGATGGGAGGAGACTTACAATATGGCGCCGCCTCTCAACTTGCAGCAGCTGGAAGCGTCTCTCCGCAGGATATGGCAACAGATCCCTCAGGATTTCTTCAGGAGGGTCATCTTTTCTCTCAGGAGGAGGTGTGTGGCTGTTATTGATGCTGATGGTGGACACACGCGATACTGACGTTGTCTTCCTTCTTGTTGTTTACCTGTGTGAACTTTTGATTTGACCCCGTCTCTGTTTAACCCACGTTGCCTTGGTCAATAAATGCAGTGCAACTTTATAACGCATTTCATTCTCTTCTTAAATGGTCACTTATCACATCGTTCTCTAAAAAATTCTTGGATGCCAAAACGCACCTAAGACATATGCTAATCTATCAGTGATGCGTTTCTAATGGCTTTCAGTATATATGAGGGTAGTTATGTAAAGGATAAAACACGACCCTGAGGCTTTGGTAGCAAATGTAAACCCGGGAGTCAGGAAATCCCAAGGGCCGAAGGCCGGAGGAATTCCCCCGACTCCAAGGGTTTATATTTGCTACCAAAACCGAGGAAGAGTGTTTTATTCGACTTATGAACCGTCATGAATGTGAAACACAAATATGTATTAATTTCAATTTGTGCAAATGATTTGTGTACATGTACTGAGCAGAACAACATTGATGGAACAGCCGGTGTCAAATGGGACGCGACTGGCATCCAACACCTTGCCTTGCAAGCGCAATGCACCGGGCATGTAGTGAGTGAGTTTCGTTTTACGCCGCACTCAGCAATATTCCAGCTATATGGCGGAGGTCTGTAAATAATCGAGTCTGGACCAGGTAATACAGTGATCTTACCGGGCATGTAGATATCGCGCTTTGATAACGACCTAATTGTGTGTTACAGAGGGTGGTGTCACCGGCTATGTAGATATTGTCCTTTGATAATGACCTTATATATTGTCTGTTACAGAGGGTGGTGCCAGCGGACTCTGTGCACGTCTGAGAAAAAACTTGAATGTATCTTCAGAACATGGCTAGAGTAAGTTTCTGGTCATGGGTCGGATAATGTATATCCGAGGATTAAGTAAAGCTAAGAAGTTACGTCATAAAGAAAATAACTTGAATCCTAATGTAAATGGTCGTTTTGCTGTTGTGTTGTGAATCGCAAACAATGTTATATATGTGCTTCATAAATGAATGTTCCCAAAATAAGTATTGTTGCATGTTTTTTAAGACTATGATGTCATCCAAATTATGATAAAAAAGATTAATGATCTATACTCTTAACAAGATGAATGTGACTGACAGAGAAGCGACCACTTATCAAGTCTCCGTGTTTCCAGGTGCTGTCTCTACAGGATTGTATGGAGGACGGTTGTAAAGACAGAACGGTTCTGCTGCACAGGCTTCCGGGGCAGAGGCTGTGATAAACGTAGGTTCACTAAAGGGTAGGAGGTGGGAGCGGAGGGGGCGGGTCTCCGTGGCTGTGACTGTGATCAACGTAGGTTCACTAACGGGTAAGAGGTGGGAGTGGAGGGGGCATGCTTCCGGGGCAGTGACTGTGATGAACGTAGGTTCACTAACGGGTAGGAGGTGGGAGTGGAGGGGGCAGGCTTCCGGGGCAGTGACTGTGATAAACGTAGGTTCACTAACGGGTAGGAGGTGGGAGTGGAGGGGGCAGGCTTCCGGGGCAGTGACTGTGATGAACGTAGGTTCACTAACGGGTAGGAGGTGGGAGCGGAGGGGGCTGGTCTCCGGGGCAGTCGCTGTGATCAACGTAGGTTCACTAAGGGGTAGGAGGTGTGAGCGGAGGGGGCTGGTCTCCGGGGCAGTCGCTGTGATCAGCCAAGATTCACTAACGGGTAGGAGGTGTGAGTGAAGGGGGCTGGTCTCCGTGGCAGTGACTGTGATCAACGTAGGTTCACTAACGGGTAGGAGGTGGGAGTGGAGGGGGCATGCTAACGGGGCAGTGATTGTGATCAACGTAGGTTCACTAACGGGTAGGAGGTGGGAGCGGAGGGGGCAGGTCTCCGTGGCAGTGACTGTGATCAACGTAGGTTCACTAACGGGTAGGAGGTGGGAGTGGAGGGGTAGGCTAACGGGGCAGTGATTGTGATCAACGTAGGTTCACTAACGGGTAGGAGGTGGGAGCGGAGGGGGGGCAGGTCTCCGTGGCAGTGACTGTGATCAACGTAGGTTCACCAACGGGTAGGAGGTGGGAGTGGAGGGGTAGGCTAACGGGGCAGTGATTGTGATCAACGTGGGTTCACTAAGGGGTAGGAGGTGAGCGGAGGGGCAGGTCTCCGGGGCAGTCGCTGTGATCAGCCAAGACTACTAACGGGTAGGAGGTGTGTGTGAGGGAGGGGGCTGGTCTCCGTGGCAGTGACTGTGATCAACGTAGGTTCACTAACGGGTAGGGAGGTGTGAGTGGAGGGGGAATGCTTCCGGGGCAGTGACTGTGATCAACGTAGGTTCACTAAGGGGTAGGAGGTGTGAGCGGAAGGGGCAGGTCTCCGGGGCAGTCGCTGTGATCAGCCAAGATTCACTAACGGGTAGGAGGTGTGAGTGGAGGGGGCAGGTCTCCGTGGCTGTGACTGTGATCAACGTAGGTTCACTAACGGGTAGGAGGTGGGAGTGGAGGGGGCAGGTCTCCGTGGCTGTGACTGTGATGAACGTAGGTTCACTAACGGGTAGGAGGTGGGAGTGGAGGGGCATGCTAACGGGGCAGTGATTGTGATCAACGTAGGTTCACTAACGGGTAGGAGGTGGGAGCGGAGGGGGCAGGTCTCCGTGGCAGTGACTGTGATCAACGTAGGTTCACTAACGGGTAGGAGGTGGGAGTGGAGGGGGTAGGCTAACGGGGCAGTGATTGTGATCAACGTAGGTTCACTAAGGGGTAGGAGGTGTGAGCGGAGGGGGCAGGTCTCCCGGGCAGTCGCTGTGATCAGCCAAGATTCACTAACGGGTAGGAGGTGTGAGCGGAGGGGGCAGGTCTCCGTGGCTGTGACTGTGATCAACGTAGGTTCACTAACGGGTAGGAGGTGGGAGTGGAGGGGGCAGGCTAACGGGGCAGTGATTGTGATCAACGTGGGTACACTAACGGGTAGGAGGTGGGAGCGGAGGGGGCGGGTCTCCAGGGCTGTGACTGTGATCAATGTGGGTACACTAACGGGTAGGAGGTGGGAGTGAAGGGGGCATGCTTCCGGGGCAGTCACTGTGATCAACGTAGGTTCACTAACGGGTAGGAGATGGGAGCGGAGGGGGCAGGCTAACGGGGCGGTGACTGTGATCAACGTAGGTTCACTAACGGGTAGGAGGTGGGAGCGGAGGGGGCAGATCTCCGGGGCAGTGACTGTGATCAACGTAGGTTCACTAAAGGGTAGGAGGTGTGAGTGGAGGGGGCGGGTCTCCGGGGCAGTGACTGTGATCAACGTAGGTTCACTAACGGGGAGGAGGCGCGAGTGGAGGGGACAGGTTTCCGGGGCAGTGACTGTGATCAACGTAAGTTCACTAACGGGTAGGTGGGAGTGGAGGGGGCATGCTCCCGGGGCAGTGACTGTGGTCAACGTAGGTTCACTAACGGGTAGGATGTAGGAGTGGAAGGGGGCAGGCTTCCGGGGCTGTGACTGTGATCAACCAAGATTCACTAACGGGTAGGAGGCTGGAGTGGAGGGGGCAGGCTTCCGGGCTGTGACTGTGATCAACCAAGATTCACTAACGGGTAGGAGGCTGGAGTGGAGGGGGCAGGCTTCCGGGCAGTGACTGTGATCAACCAAGATTCACTAACGGGTAGGAGGCTGGAGTGGAGGGGGCAGGCTTCTTGGGCAGTAACTGTGATCAACGTGTTTACTTTCAAGGGAAAATGTATAAATTGTTTGGTGTCCGCTGTCCTTGTGGCAAAATATATTCTCACATGTTATAATAAAAAATATCCTGATAACAATATAATTATTTGACCTGGGTTGCAGCATATATACTTCTTTATTGTTGGCCTGGAGCTCAATATGTGGCTTCTTTGGTCTGGTGGACTTACATCTAAAATAACTGTCTAGCATTTACCATTAGCAGAATTATTGTTCTGATAAGCCATTGATTAAAAGACTGGAGCTTAATTGGTTGACAGATTTTTCTGATAAGCCATTTGCTGAAAACTTGTCTAATTGGATGACAGATTGTTCAGATAAGCCATTGGTTAAAAACTTGTTGCCTAACTGGTTGAAAGATTGTTGTGATAAGCTATTGCTAAACGCTTGTTCTATAAGTTGTTGACGGATGGTTCTGATAGGATTCTAAACGTATTATCCTTAGTGAGTGAGTGTGATTTTACGCCGCTTTCAGCCAATGTCAATCACAGCGGAGGTTGATTCTTCAGAGAAGTAGCCAGTTTGACATGAGAGTCCTCTAATAAATATCGTTCAGGTCGTAATATGGCCATATCCTAGCATCTATTTTAATTGTCTTTTCAGTGGGTTCTGAACTTTGAGCCTTTACTGTTTCTTGTCCTTCAGCTGTCTGTAATCCCGCGTGCGCTAACGGTGGTACGTGTACTGCCCCTGGCAGGTGCGAGTGCCGAGCTGGTTTCGAGGGCCCGACTTGTCGTGGAAGTAAGTATTGCCCATTCACAGGGCGCTACAACCATTTACATTAATTATATTGTAGAATAATGGTGTGGTGCCATAGAAGGAAAAAGTTATAATGTTCTGGGAACTATTCCGAATGATTCATATTTTGTGAGTACCTCTCCTGAGAATCTTCTGTTCTCAGTTCCGAGCTTAAGTGAGAAACCCCTTTCTATAACTACAAATCAAGATAAATAAAGCTTTACCATAGTCATGAGAAATCTCCACTAGACGCAGAGTGAATTGTGCGAATCCGTGTAATTTATAACTATATGTTCCTAAAACACTGTTGAATAGTGTGTTTATCCTATCACAAACGCATGCAAAGCCACGTGTTCACTTGTAGAAAAACAATATAAAAACCAACCCTTGGAATTGTACCGGACACTTTTTTGGTCATGACGCGTTAAATATTGAAATTCCCTTGAAATATCGAGCACAAATGGTTTTTTTCAAAATAATGTCGAGACCTTAAATGTGAGTGTTGCCTGAGCACGAGTCGCACGTACTGTTTTGAATCTAGAACCTAGAAAGATCGTGTTTGATTGAAACCTTGAAATGTGTGGGGCTGCCTGAATACTGTTGGACATTAACGGAAAGTTGGATTTTGTAATGAAGCCTTTCTCTCTTGTCAGGCCAGGACTCTCGTCAGGCCAGGTCTCTTGCCAGGCCTTCTCTCTTGTCAGGTCAGGTCCCTTGTCAGGCCAGGTCTCTTGTCAGGCCAGGTCTCTCGTCAGGCCAGGTCTCTTGTCAGGCCAGGTCTCTTGTCAGGCCAGGTCTCTCGTTAGGCCAGGTCTCTTGTCAGGCCAGGTCTCCCGTCAGGCCAAGTCTCTTGTCAGGCCAGGTCTGATGTCAGGCCAGGTCTCTCGTCAGGCCAGGCCTCTTGCCAGGCCTTCTCTCTTGTCAGGTCAGGTCCCTTGTCAGGCCAGGTCTCTTGTCAGGCCAGGTCTCTTGCCAGGCCTTCTCTCTTGTCAGGTCAGGTCCCTTTGTCAGGCCAGGTCTCTTGTCAGGCCAGGTCAAGGTCTCTCTTTGTCAGTGTGCCCACTGGAGGCTACTGCAGTTCCCTACTGTCTTAATTTCACACCCAGGCTACCTATATAGTAAACAACAGTGTAAGCAAGGAGTGTGCCCACTGGAGGCTACTGCGTTCCCTACTGTCTTAATTTCACACCCAGGCTACCTATATAGTAGTGTAAGCAAGGAGTGTGCCCACTGGAGGCTACTGCGTTCCCTACTGTCTTAATTTCACACTCAGGCTACCTATATAGTAGTGTAAGCAAGGAGTGTGCCCACTGGAATGGCTACTGCGTTCCCTACTGTCTTAATTTCACACTCTCAGGCTACCTATATAGTAGTGTAAGCAAGGAGTGTGCCCACTGGAATGGCTACTGGCTACCTATATAGTAGTTCCCACTGGAGGCTACTGTCTTAATTTCACACTCAGGCTACCTATATAGTAGTGTAAGCAAGGAGTGTGCCCACTGGAGGCTACTGCGTTCCCTACTGTCTTAATTTCACACTCAGGCTACCTATATAGTAGTGTAAGCAAGGAGTGTGCCCACTGGAGGCTACTGCGTTCCCTATTGTCTTAATTTCACACCCAGGCTACCTATATAGTAGTGTAAGCAAGGAGTGTGCCCACTGGAGGCTACTGCGTTCCCTACTGTCTTAATTTCACACCCAGGCTACCTATATAGTAGTGTAAGCAAGGAGTGTGCCCACTGGAGGCTACTGCGTTCCCTACTGTCTTAATTTCACACCCAGGCTACCTATATAGTAGTGTAAGCAAGGGAGTGTGCCCACTGGAGGCTACTGCGTTCCCTACTGTCTTAATTTCACACTCAGGCTACCTATATAGTAGTGTAAGCAAGGAGTGTGCCCACTGGAGGCTACTGCGTTCCCTACTGTCTTAATTTCACACCCAGGCTACCTATATAGTAGTGTAAGCAAGGAGTGTGCCCACTGGAGGCTACTGCGTTCCCTACTGTCTTAATTTCACACCCAGGCTACCTATATAGTAGTGTAAGCAAGGAGTGTGCCCACTGGAGGCTACTGCGTTCCCTACTGTCTTAATTTCACACTCAGGCTACCTATATAGTAGTGTAAGCAAGGAGTGTGCCCACTGGAGGCTACTGCGTTCCCTACTGTCTTAATTTCACACTCAGGCTACCTATATAGTAGTGTAAGCAAGGAGTGTGCCCACTGGAGGCTGCTGCGTTCCCTACTGTCTTAATTTCACACTCAGGCTACCTATATAGTAGTGTAAGCAAGGAGTGTGCCCACTGGAGGCTACTGCGTTCCCTACTGTCTTAATTTCACACTCCAGGCTACCTATATAGTAGTGTAAGCAAGGAGTGTGCCCACTGGATTTCACACCCAGGCTACTATATAGTAGTTCCCTACTGTCCCTAATTTAATTTCACACTCAGGCTACCTATATAGTGTAAGCAAGGGAGTGTGCCCATTGGAATGGGTACTGCGTTCCTACTGTCTTAATTTCACACTGGAGGCTACAAGGAGTGTGCCCACTGGAGGGCTACTGCGTTCCCTACTGTCTTAATTTCACACCCAGGCTACCTATATAGTAGTGTAAGCAAGGAGTGTGCCCACTGGAGGCTACTGCGTTCCCTACTGTCTTAATTTCACACTCAGGCTACCTATATAGTAGTGTAAGCAAGGAGTGTGCCCACTGGAGGCTACTGCGTTCCCTACTGTCTTAATTTCACACTCAGGCTACCTATATAGTAGTGTAAGCAAGGAGTGTGCCCACTGGAATGGCTACTGCGTTCCCTACTGTCTTAATTTCACACCCAGGCTACCTATATAGTAGTGTAAGCAAGGAGTGTGCCCACTGGAGGCTACTGCGTTCCCTACTGTCTTAATTTCACACCCAGGCTACCTATATAGTAGTGTAAGCAAGGAGTGTGCCCACTGGAGGCTACTGCGTTCCCTACTGTCTTAATTTCACACCCAGGCTACCTATATAGTAGTGTAAGCAAGGTGTGTGCCCACTGGAGGCTACTGCGTTCCCTACTGTCTTAATTTCACACCCAGGCTACCTATATAGTAGTGTAAGCAAGTAGAGTGTGCCCACTGGAGGCTACTGCGTTCCCTATTGTCTTAATTTCACACTCAGGCTACCTATATAGTAGTGTAAGCAAGGAGTGTGCCCACTGGAGGCTACTGCGTTCCCTACTGTCTTAATTTCACACTCAGGCTACCTATATAGTAGTGTAAGCAAGGAGTGTGCCCACTGGAGGCTACTGCGTTCCCTACTGTCTTAATTTCACACCCAGGCTACCTATATAGTAGTGTAAGCAAGGAGTGTGCCCATTGGAGGCTACTGCGTTCCCTACTGTCTTAATTTCACACCCAGGCTACCTATATAGTAGTGTAAGCAAGGAGTGTGCCCACTGGAGGCTACTGCGTTCCCTACTGTCTTAATTTCACACTCAGGCTACCTATATAGTAGTGTAAGCAAGGAGTGTGCCCACTGGAGGCTACTGCGTTCCCTACTGTCTTAATTTCACACTCAGGCTACCTATATAGTAGTGTAAGCAAGGAGTGTGCCCACTGGAGGCTACTGCGTTCCCTACTGTCTTAATTTCACACCCAGGCTACCTATATAGTAGTGTAAGCAAGGAGTGTGCCCACTGGAGGCTACTGCGTTCCCTACTGTCTTAATTTCACACCCAGGCTACCTATATAGTAGTGTAAGCAAGGAGTGTGCCCACTGGAGGCTACTGGAGTGTTCCCTATTGTCTTAATTTCACACCCAGGCTACCTATATAGTAGTGTAAGCAAGGAGTGTGCCCACTGGAGGCTACTGCGTTCCCTACTGTCTTAATTTCACACCCAGGCTACCTATATAGTAGTGTAAGCAAGGAGTGTGCCCACTGGAGGCTACTGCGTTCCCTACTGTCTTAATTTCACACCCAGGCTACCTATATAGTAGTGTAAGCAAGGAGGTGTGCCCACTGGATTTGGCTACTGCGTTCCCTACTGTCTTAATTTCACACCCAGGCTACCTATATAGTAGTGTAAGCAAGGAGTGTGCCCACTGGAATGGCTACTGCGTTCCCTACTGTCTTAATTTCACACTCAGGCTACCTATATAGTAGTGTAAGCAAGGAGTGTGCCCACTGGAGGCTACTGCGTTCCCTACTGTCTTAATTTCACACTCCAGGCTACCTATATAGTAGTGTAAGCAAGGAGTGTGCCCACTGGAGGCTACTGCGTTCCCTACTGTCTTAATTTCACACTCAGGCTACCTATATAGTAGTGTAAGCAAGGAGTGTGCCCACTGGAGGCTACTGCGTTCCTACTGTCTTAATTTCACACCTAGGCTACCTATATAGTAGTGTAAGCAAGGAGTGTGCCCACTGGAGGCTACTGCGTTCCCTACTGTCTTAATTTCACACCCAGGCTACCTATATAGTAGTGTAAGCAAGGAGTGTGCCCACTGGAGGCTACTGCGTTCCCTACTGTCTTAATTTCACACCCAGGCTACCTATATAGTAGTGTAAGCAAGGAGTGTGCCCACTGGAGGCTACTGCGTTCCCTACTGTCTTAATTTCACACACCAGGCTACCTATATAGTAGTGTAAGCAAGGAGGTGCCCACTGGAGGCTACTGCGTTCCCTACTGTCTTAATTTCACACCCAGGCTACCTATATAGTAGTGTAAGCAAGGAGTGTGCCCACTGGAATGGCTACTGCGTTCCCTACTGTCTTAATTTCACACCCAGGCTACCTATATAGTAGTGTAAGCAAGGAGTGTGCCCACTGGAGGCTACTGCGTTCCCTACTGTCTTAATTTCACACCCAGGCTACCTATATAGTAGTGTAAGCAAGGAGTGTGCCCACTGGAGGCTACTGCGTTCCCTACTGTCTTAATTTCACACTCAGGCTACCTATATAGTAGTGTAAGCAAGGAGTGTGCCCACTGGAGGCTACTGCGTTCCCTACTGTCTTAATTTCACACCCAGGCTACCTATATAGTAGTGTAAGCAAGGAGTGTGCCCACTGGAGGCTACTGCGTTCCCTACTGTCTTAATTTCACACCCAGGCTACCTATATAGTAGTGTAAGCAAGGAGTGTGCCCACTGGAGGCTACTGCGTTCCCTACTGTCTTAATTTCACACCCAGGCTACCTATATAGTAGTGTAAGCAAGGAGTGTGCCCACTGGAGGCTACTGCGTTCCCTACTGTCTTAATTTCACACTCAGGCTACCTATATAGTAGTGTAAGCAAGGAGTGTGCCCACTGGAGGCTACTGCGTTCCCTACTGTCTTAATTTCACACCCAGGCTACCTATATAGTAGTGTAAGCAAGGAGTGTGCCCACTGGAGGCTACTGCGTTCCCTACTGTCTTAATTTCACACCCAGGCTACCTATATAGTAGTGTAAGCAAGGAGTGTGCCCACTGGAGGCTACTGCGTTCCCTACTGTCTTAATTTCACACTCAGGCTACCTATATAGTAGTGTAAGCAAGGAGTGTGCCCACTGGAGGCTACCTACTGCGTTCCCTACTGTCTTAATTTCACACCCAGGCTACCTATATAGTAGTGTAAGCAAGGAGTGTGCCCACTGGAGGCTACTGCGTTCCCTACTGTCTTAATTTCACACCCAGGCTACCTATATAGTAGTGTAAGCAAGGAGTGTGCCCACTGGAATGGCTACTGCGTTCCCTACTGTCTTAATTTCACACCCAGGCTACCTATATAGTAGTGTAAGCAAGGAGTGTGCCCACTGGAGGCTACTGCGTTCCCTACTGTCTTAATTTCACACCCAGGCTACCTATATAGTAGTGTAAGCAAGGAGTGTGCCCACTGGAGGCTACTGCGTTCCCTACTGTCTTAATTTCACACCCAGGCTACCTATATAGTAGTGTAAGCAAGGAGTGTGCCCACTGGAGGCTACTGCGTTCCCTACTGTCTTAATTTCACACCCAGGCTACCTATATAGTAGTGTATCAGAAGCCTATATAACCTAACGCACATACAAGCTACTGATTGTGTCCTTTCTGTTGGCAGCTGAACCTTGCTCTCACCGATCTCCGTGCTTCCCGGGCACCTGCTCTGGGAGCTGTACTTGTCAGTCGGGATTCACACAACAGACATGCTTGACATGTAAGTAATATTAACAGTTATTCATATTGTGAACATCAATGTTAGTGTCCGATTATCAGCCCGGCTGATTTCTTCCAAATTTCCGCCATGTCAAATATTCACGAAGACAGAATGTCAGAATAGAAAAGTATATATTTCAAACACTTACAAACACTAAGGTAATTTTGATCTGCACAGTGAGGGACCAGGCACCTAGAATATGGCAATGCCGTGCTCGCCTGGAGAGTCGGAAGACGTCCCTGGACCCCGCCATAAATGGAATGGTGATGTATTCATTCATCACGGACTCCTCCAACCCGGATGTAGACACAGAGGACGTCATTTGGTCCAACCAAAAAGGATTTAATTATTTACAGATAGACGGCACTGCCCAATTTGATGCAACCATAGAGTACCCCAAACCCTCCTATGTGCGCAGATCGACATTCGGCGTGACCAGCGCCACTGCAACGGTCAGACACACGAAGTTGGATACAGGTAGGATGTCCGCCAGCATTCTTTGATATGGTATATAGAATCACACTGGTGATATGGTAAGTACAAATGCTGAGATCACTTTGTAAATACATCTTAATCACGTGCTAGATTACACCATCTGAAGTATGCAGATCACCCGACGTTTGGCGCGTGATGTGACGTCATGTCTATGTTGCATGTTCATGTACTTTAATACGGAACATGAAAATATTGCTTGTCGTTGGTGAGGACAGCCTGAAAACTGTTTACAACATGTTTGTGCTGGGGTATTCCATTGTGTATCACTGACGTATTCAAGTATTTTGTTTATTTACATAAACCTACTCTGCTCTTTGAAAAGTGCAATACAAAGTGACTATTAATTTTAAACAGGGAATAAAAGCTATTACTACTGATCTCTGCAATCGATCTTTCATCGTTTTGGAAATATTACGGTAATTACTCCTCGCTTCATGTATATTGTGTCATGGCGTCATGGTAGAAATAAGTTTAAGGGTGTCGAATCTACGTTGGAAATATCTAAATTCAAATAACATAATGAAGAGGTGTGGTTTTAATGTAAGATGCATCTAAGCCCAAGGCGAGTGCGTCTCGTCAAACCCCAGTTAGTGTTGTTCATGCCATCAGCCACTGGCTGGCTCCATCAACAGGCTGCAGGGAAACAGCTGCAGTCCTGCTGACTGACTGTAAACTAACTGTCGGTGATTTACTTATAGGCACTTACTGTTCACAGACAAAGGTGGCAGGTACATAACCAAAGAAGAGAACTATATTTGTGAACAGAGGGGTGGAAGGGGCGTGGCCACTGTCGAATACTGGAACTGCACGGTGGAAGAGCCAAGGTTTGACCAGTCCATCACTAATGCGGATGAGTAAGTACTACTCACACAAATATATAGGGTTAGTGAGTGAGTGAGTTCTACACCGCACTCCAGCAATATGGCTGTGGTCTGTAAATAATCCGTAGTCTGGACCAGACGATCCAGTGATCAACAGCATGAGCATCAACCTGCGCAACTGGGAACCGATGCCATGTGTCAACGATATAGGTGGTGGTGGTGATATAGACATTAGTGAGGTGAGGTGAAATTGGGTTTAACGTCGCGCTGGAGACTATTTCGCTCATATGACGACGTGCATGCGTGTGTATATGTATGTGCGGCTGCTTGTACTAGCCAAGACTGAAGCTGGCTTTATAGTGCTAGCCCACTGAGATACCATGCCGCAGTGAAGCATGAATACCCAACTCAGACACATTATACTGATTCCGAGCCGACCAGTCCTTGTATCCATTAATGCCGAGCGCCAGACAGGGACCAACAAGTTTAACCAACCATATTTTAACGTCTTTTGGTATGACGCGGCTGGGGATGGAACCCGCGACCTTCCGCTCTCTAGGCCTCGCCACAGTCACAGTTGATTTTATAGACTTGTGATGATATAGGCATTAGTGGTGGTGATGATATGGGCATCAGTGGTGGTGATGATATAGGCATTAGTGGTGGTGATGATATAGGCATTAGTGGTGGTGATGGTATAGGCATTAGTGGTGGTGATGATATAGGCATTAGTGGTGGTGATGGTATAGGCATTAGTGGTGGTGATGATATAGGCATTAGTGGTGGTGATGATATAGGCATTAGTGGTGGTGATGGTGATATAGGCATTAGTGGTGGTGATGGTATAGGCATTAGTGGTGGTGATGGTATAGGCATTAGTGGTGGTGATGGTATAGGCATTAGTGGTGGTGATGGTATAGGCATTAGTGGTGGTGATGGTATAGGCATTAGTGGTGGTGATGATATAGGCATTAGTGGTGGTGATGGTATAGGCATTAGTGGTGGTGATGGTATAGGCATTAGTGGTGGTGATGATATAGGCATTAGTGGTGGTGATGGTATAGGCATTAGTGGTGGTGATGGTATAGGCATTAGTGGTGGTGATGATATAGGCATTAGTGGTGGTGATGATATAGGCATTAGTGGTGGTGATGGTATAGGCATTAGTGGTGGTGTGATGGTATAGGCATTAGTGGTGGTGATGATATAGGCATTAGTGGTGGTGATGATGGTATAGGCATTAGTGGTGGTGATGATAGTAGTGGTGGTGATGGCATTAGTGGTGGTGATGGTATAGGCATTAGTGGTGGTGATGATATAGGCATTAGTGGTGGTGATGATATAGGCATTAGTGGTGGTGATGATATAGGCATTAGTGGTGGTGATGATATAGGCATTAGTGGTGGTGATGGTATAGGCATTAGTGGTGGTGATGATATAGGCATTAGTAGTGGTGATGATATAGGCATTAGTGGTGGTGATGATATAGGCACTAGTGGTGGTGATGATATAGGCTATAAGTGGTGGTGATGATAGAGGCATTAGTGGTGGTGATGATATAGGCTTTAGAGGTGGTGATGATATAGGCATTAGTGGTGGTGATGATGATATAGGCATTAGTGGTGGTGGTGATGATATAGGCATTAGTGGTGGTGATGATATAGGCATTAGTGGTGGTGATGATATAGGCATTAGTGGTGGTGATGATATAGTGGTGGTGATGTAGTGGTGGTGATGATATAGGCATTAGTGGTGGTGATGATATAGGCATTAGTGGTGGTGATGATATAGGCATTAGTGGTGGTGATGATATAGGGCATTAGTGGTGGTGATGATATAGGCATTAGTGGTGGTGATGGGTGGTGATGGTATAGGCATTAATAGTGGTGATGATATAAGCATTAGTGGTGATGATGATATAGGCATTAGTGGTGGTGATGATATAGGCATTAGTGGTGGTGATGATATAGGCATTAGTGGTGATGATGATATAGGCATTAGTGGTGGTGATGATATAGGCATTAGTGGTGGTGATGTTATAGACATTTGTGGTGGTGATGGTATAGGCATTAATAGTGGTGATGATATAAGCATTAGTGGTGATGATATAGGCATGATGATATAAGATATAGGCATTAGTGGTGGTGATGATATAGGCATTAGTGGTGGTGTGGTGATGATGATATAGGCATTAGTGGTGGTGATGATATAGGCATTAGTGGTGATGATGATATAGGCATTAGTGGTGGTGATGATATAGGCATTAGTGGTGGTGATGATATAGGCATTAGTGGTGGTGATGATATAGGCATTAGTGGTGGTGATGATATAGGCATTAGTGGTGATGATGATATAGGCATTAGTGGTGATGATGATATAGGCATTAGTGGTGGTGATGATATAGGCATTAGTGGTGGTGATGATATAGGCATTAGTGGTGGTGATGATATAGGCATTAGTGGTGGTGATGATATAGGCATTAGTGGTGGTGGCATTAGTGGTGGTGATGATATAGGATTTAGTGGTGGTGATGGTATAGGCATTAATAGTGGTGATGATATAAGCATTAGTGGTGATGATGATATAGGCATTAGTGGTGGTGATGATATAGGTATTAGCGGTGGTGATGATAGAGGCATTAGTTGTGATGATGATAGAGGCATTAGTGGTGTTGATGATATAGGCATTAGTGGTGGTGATGATATAGAGGCATTAGTGGTGGTGATGATATAGGCATTAGTGGTGGTGATGTTATAGACATTTGTGGTGGTGATGGTATAGGCATTAATAGTGGTGATGATATAAGCATTAGTGGTGATGATGATATAGGCATTAGTGGTGGTGATGATATAGGTATTAGCGGTGGTGATGATAGAGGCATTAGTTGTGATGATGATAGAGGCATTAGTGGTGTTGATGATATAGGCATTAGTGGTGGTGATGATATAGGCATTAGTTGTGATGTGATGGCATTAGTGGTGGGGATGATACATTAGGTGGTGGTGGTGATGATATAGGCATTAGTGGTGTTGATGATACAGGCATTAGTTGTGATGATGATATAGGCATTAGTGGTGGGGATGATATAGGCATTAGTGGTGGTGATGTCCGCATTAGTGGTGTTGATGATATAGGCATTAGTGGTGTTGATGATACAGGCATTAGTTGTGATGATGATATAGGCATTAGTGGTGGGGATGATATAGGCATTAGTGGTGGTGATGTCCGCATTAGTGGTGTTGATGATACAGGCATTAGTTGTGATGATGATAGAGGCATTAGTGGTGGTGATGTCCGCATTAGTGGTGGTGATGATATCGGTATTAGTGGTGGTGCTGTTATAGGCATCAGTAGTGGTGATGATATAGGCATTAGTTGTGGTGATGGTGTAGGCATCAGTAGTGGTGAGGATACGGCAATTAGTCGTGATGATATAAAGAATTAGTGGATCTTATGAAGTGGGGAATTAGGGGTGATGATGGTACATGAATCAAGTGTGGTGATGATAAAATTTGTGTAAAGAACAAAAATGAATTTGTTCTAAAAAGAACGTGCCATGTATTCGATTTTATTTTACGTGACTTAGGCTTGAAGTGACCTTGAACTTCACCAGCGGGGGCAGCAGGGAGTTGATCAACCCCGATACTAATGTATTCTACAACAGAGAGGACTACACCCAGCAGTCTTCATCCAAAACGCTCAGGTTCAAATTCGACCTGACTAAACCTTCCCATTGCTTCGGCAAGCCGACCTGTCTTACGTCACCTCTATCCCTAGACAGGGACATTACGCGTGTGAGTAAACGTGTACTCACTCTCCCAGCAAACCTTAACACAACCTGTACTCACTCTCCCTCCAAACCTTAACACAACCTGTACTCACTCTCCCACCAAACCCTAACACAACCTGTACTCACTCTCCCACCAAACCCTAACACAACCTGTACTCACTCTGCCACCAAACCTTAACACAACCTGTACTCACTCTCCCACCAAACCCTAACACAACCTGTACCCACTCTGCCACCAACCCCTAACACAACCTGTACTCACTCTGCCACCAAACCCTAACACAACCTGTACTCACTCTCCCACCAAACCCTAACACAACCTGTACTCACTCTCCCAACAAACCCTAACACAACCTGTACTCACTCTACCTCCAAACCCTAACACAACCTGTACTCACTCTCCCACCAAACCCTAACACAACCTGTACTCACTCTACCTCCAAACCCTAACACAACCTGCCTCCAAAACCCTAACACAACCTGCACCCTAAAACACAACCTCCAAACCCTAACACAACCTGTACTCACTCTACCTCCAAACCCTAACACAACCTGTACTCACTCTCCCACCAAACCCTTGTCACTTCTTACCATATGAAAGAGTTTAGTGGCTGACGTCCTGTGGCTGCTGTGTTGCCACCGAGCAATTGACGGATAAATGGCTCCAGCTCTTTTAATGCCGATTTTCATAGTTTATGAAATCAGAGTAAGAGAGTGAGGTCATATTTAACGTCACATCGGCAATATTTCAACCATATCAAATCAGAAATATTCGCATCAGCCCCTTTTAACACTGTACATGTAAGCTGTCACATCGGATCAGCGGATCATTACCTTTCACGCCACAACAAACGTCATTTGTATCACACAATAAGACCTCTCATCATATCACGATGAATGGTTGTCTCTAGCTTGTTACAATTTACTTTGTTGTTAGGATCAACTAGAAGTGTTCGAATCTCTTTCGGTCCCATATGATTGCTAGTTTCGCATGAATGCGACCCATGTCTTCTTAGCCACATCACCCTGACTCTCAGCAACCTAAGCCTTCAACGTAGGTGAAGCTTTAAGGAGGAGGCCTAATGACCGAGGAAGAGACCCATGTTGCCCAAATAATTTTAATATGGAGCCTTTTTCCTGTACCCTCGTACATAATAATGCTTTAATGATGCTGTTGTAGAATCAAGTTGCAATAACGTGGGACGGTTGGACGGACAACCTGTCTGGGATGCACCGCTACGCATGGGAAGTATTTCGACTGGACACCATAACCGCTGACGGCAAGCTGGGGGAAAAGAATCCCCTCCAACCTCTTGTCAACAGGAGTGGCTAGAGAAGACCGGTACCCTCCCGGTGATGTACAAACCAACAACACCAGGAATGTACTCAGTCATTCTGGAGGCCTCAGATCTCGCCAACAACTCTCTCTACACTCGGCGGCTCTTTCTATACGACGACGCATCCAACATCAACGTCAGTGTCGACCAGCGACTGTTCATATCCAGTGCAGCAGCAGTAACCAACCACACGTGGCAGGCGAGTCTTGTCGATGATGTCGTAGTGGACTGGGCGGGGCACTTCACTAACCAGGTTCACTACAAATCCAACCTTCTGAATGCAGTGGCGGACTACCCCCCTCAGTTTACAGACATCGAAAATGAAGTAGGTTCTTCCTCTACCTTTACGGTCAAGAGGATAACGTTCGATGACGACGATGGGGCGAGGACTCGAGATGCAATCCCGAATGTCCGAGGTATAGTGAAGTTTGAAGTCGCCTACAGTCGAGATCGCGGTGGGGGGTCCACTATACGTATACCAGGAGCATGGCAGCAGATAGCACTTACTGAAACATATACGATCCGAAATGAAAGACGAACGGACGGTGATACTATCCGCGTTTGGGTACGTGCGACGGACATTATGAATAACACGAGGAGAGACAGCACTGTAGTCCGCTTTGATGAATCAAAGCCAAAGGTTCAGCTGAAACAGCTGACGAAAAATGTGCAGAATGGGACTTACGATTACTCTTCTCTGTAAGTATATCCTCCTCTCTGTATATATATCCTCATCTCTGTATGTATATCCTCCTCTCTGTATGTATATCCTCCTCTCTGTATGTATATCGTCCTCTCTGTATGTATATCCTCCTCTCTGTTCTGAATGTATACCCTCCTCTCTGTATGTATATCCTCCTCTCTGTATATATACCCTCCTCTCTGTATATATACCCTCCTCTCTGTATGTATATCCTCCTCCTGTATATATATTCTCCTCTCTGTATATATACCCTCCTCTCTTTTCTGTATGTATATCCTCCTTATATCCTCCTCTCTGTATATATACCCTCCTCTCTGTTCTGAATGTATACCCTCCTCTCTGTATATACACCCTCCTCTCTGTATATATACCCTCCTCTCTGTATATATACCCTCCTCTCTGTTCTGTATGTATATCCTCCTCTCTGTAAGTATATCCTCCTTGTAAGTATATCCTCCTCTCTGTATATATACCCTCCTCTCTGTATATATACCCTCCTCTCTGTATATATATCCTCCTCTCTGTAAGTATATCCTCCTCTCTGTAGTATATCCTCCTCTCTGTATATATACCCTCCTCTCTGTTCTGAATGTATACCCTCCTCTCTGTATGTATATCCTCCTCTCTGTATGTATATCCTCCTCTCTGTATATATACCCTCCTCTCTGTTCTGAATGTATACCCTCCTCTCTGTATATATATCCTCCTCTCTGTAAGTATATCCTCCTCTCTGTATGTATATCCTCCTCTCTGTTCTGAATGTATACCCTCCTCTCTGTATGTATATCCTCCTCTCTGTATGTATATCCTCCTCTCTGTATATATACCCTCCTCTCTGTAGATATACCCTCCTCTCTGTATTTATACCCTCCTCTCTGTATGTATATCCTCCTCTCTGTTCTGTATGTATATCCTCCTCTATGTACGTATATCCTCCTCTGTATGTATATCCCTCTATGTACGTATATCCTCCTCTGTACATATATCCCTCTCTGTATATATATCCCTATGTACGTATATCCTCCTCTGTTCATATATCCCTCTTTGTACGTCCTCCCATCTGTACATATATCCCTCTATGTACGTATATCCTCCTCTGTACATATATCCCTCTCTGTATATATATCCCCCTATGTACGTATATCCTCCTCTGTTCATATATCCCTCTTTGTACGTATATCCCCCTCTGTACGTATATCCCTCCCTGTACGTATATCCTCCTCTGTACATATATTCCTCTCTGTACATATATCCCTCTTTGTACGTATATCCCTCTATGTACCTATATCCTCCTCTGTACGTATATCCCTCTATTTACAGATATCTTCCTCTGTAAGTATATCCCTCTATGTACGTATATCCTCCTCTGTACGTATATCCCTCTATGTACGTATATCCTCCTCTGTACATATATCCCTCTCTGTACATATATCCCTCTATGTACGTATATCCTCCTCTGTACGTATACCCCTCTATGTACGTATATCCCTCTCTGTAAGTATATCCCTCTCTGTACGTATATCCCTCTCTGTACGTATATCCCTCTATGTACATATATTCCTCTATGTACGTATATCCCTCTCTGCACGTACATCCATCTATGTACGTATCCTCCTCTGTACGTATATCCCTCTATGTACGTATATCCTCTCTGTACGTATATCCTTCTCTATGTACATATATCCCTCTTTGTACATGTATCCTTCTATGTACGTATATCCTCCTCTGTACATATATCCCTCTATATACGTATGTCCCTCTCTGTACGTATATCCCTCTATGTACGTATGTCCCTCTCTGTAGGTATATCCCTCTATGTACATATATCACTCTATGTATGTATATCCTCCTCTGTACATATATCCCTCTATGTACGTATATCCCTCTCTCTACGTATATCTCTCTATGTACATATATCCCTCTCGGTATGTATATCCTCCTCCTTACGTTTATCCCTTACTGTACGTATATCCCTCTCTGTACGTATACCCTCCTCTCTGTATGTATATCCTCCTCCCTGTTCGTATATCCTCCCCTGTATGTATACAGTATATGAAATAAGGCCTGTCCGACCGCCCGAGAAGGTCTAGATTTCTGACGGACCGTCTAAATTTTACAGCTAGCCAGTCCGATGGTCTGGTAAAAAATGTTTGATCTTCCATACATCTGAGTAAATTCACCATGTTTGGTCTTGTTAAATCCATTTTGGGCTGCTAACATTTTGAAATTACCAGACAAGATGTCTGGCTGGGCTTTTGACTTATTTCATACACTGATGCATATCCTTCTCTGTGGGTATATCCCTCTCTGTACGTATATCCCTCTCTGTACGTATATGGTCCTCCGTATGCATATCATTCTCTGTATGTATATCCCCTTCGGTATGTAAATCCTCCTCTGTATGTATTTCCTCCTCTGTATGCACATCGCTCTATGTACGTATATCCACATGTGTTTGTGAGAGAGAAAGAGAGAGAGTATATAATCTCTCTTATAAGTACAATACGCTCCCTGTGAGCATATTACCTCTCCTGTAAGTATCACACTCTCCGTGAGTATATCTTCTCCGTTGTAAGTATAACACGCTCCGTGTGAGTATATCATATCTCTTATGACTACATAACGCTCTCTGTGAGCAAATTACCTCTCCTGTAAGTATATCAAAACGCTTCGTGAGAATATCTTCTCCCTGTAAGTATATCACACTCTGTGTGTGTTTATAATCTCTCCTGAAAGAATATCATCTCCCATATAACTTGATATAAGTATATCTCACTCCCTGTAAGTATATAACACTCCGTGAGTGTCTCACCTCTCCTGTATGTATATAACAATCTGTGTGAGTATATCATCTCTCCTATACGTACATAACGCTCTCTGTGAGAATATCACCTCTCCTGTAAGTAACAACACTCTCTCTCTCTCTGAATATGGCGTCCTGTCAGTTGGTATGCTGTCCGCCATGTAATAAGAATGGTTTGATATCAAATAGTATGAAATCCATGTTCTATGTAATCCATCTCGACGTGAGTCAGAAGAACGGTTGTTGTAGGATATAGATTAATAATATATTACAGAGCCCCTATAACGGCCTTTGACGAACACAGCGGAATACGGGAGGTTACCTGGCGACTTGTGCGTAACAGCACAGGGAAAGTGACGCGCTCAGGGACGTTGAGTCGGACACATTACCAGCTGACTGTAGGTACTCACTGGATCACAGAACATAAAATACAAACCATATCACGGGGCTGTTAGTGAAAACAGACTTCAAATACACATCAATCACAAGTGGAAACTGTTCACGGTGTTCAACCTGGTATACATGCACCAAGACGTCAGTTCAGATGTCTTTATATCCGTTGTTTCCTGCACTGCCAACATTTAAATAGTCTCACTCACAGTGTGAAAACATTGAGCGATACATTACATGACATGAATGCTAGATTCAGTTCCCACATTATGCAACAACATACAGCGATGTTTGTAGCCAGATACCCCAAACATCCAACGATAAAGGGCACGTTTTTCACATCACCTCTTTTGTTTCCATTCCCCAGAAAGCCGAGTGTGACGTCAACGCGGCAGAGTGCCGCTGCACGCCAACCGATGACTGCTTCCGAAGCACTTTCAGCCTCCCCATCAACCACTGCTGGTTACAGGTGGAGAAGGAGAGTCTCGCTACAGAAGTTATAACCCTGGATGTCACGGTGACCAACGCGGCCATGTTGACCAACACACGCTCTCTCCAGGTCAGTGTGTACTCTGTTGTTGCAACTCGAGTCATTGAACACACCTTTATCTCAAACGGTTATTATACTCGTCACAAAACTAATCTAAATGTAACGAGCATACACTCCTGTCTCTTTATAGTGTTACAATCATGTAAAATTAATCCTAATATGTTAGTGTCATTAGGGTATACTATCAAAGAGACCTCAGGAAGAGTCCAATTGACCTCAGGTAGACTATCAAAGAGACCTCAGGTAGAATATCAATGACATCTTAGGTACCCAAAGTGACCTCAGGCAGAGTCCAATTGACTTCAGGTAGACCTCAGGTAGACAGTCAAAGTGACCTCAGGTATACCAATTGACTTCAAGTACACATTCCATTTGACCTCAGGTAGACTATCAAAGAGACCTCAGTAGAGAGTCAAATATACCTCAGATAGAGTCCAAATGACCTCAGGTAGACTATCAAAGAGACCTCAGGTAGAATATCAAAGAGACCTTAGGTACCCAAAGTGACCTCAGGTAGAGTCCAATTGACCTCAGGTAGACCTCAGGTAGACAGTTAAAGTGACCTCAAGTAGACAGTCAAAGTGACTTTAGGTATACCAATTGACTTCAAGTACACATTCCATTTGACCTCAGGTAGACTATCAAAGAGACCTCAGTAGAGAGTCAAATATACCTCAGATAGAGTCCAATTGACCTCAGGTAGACAGTAAAAGTGACCTCATGTAGACAAAGTGGCCTCAGGTAGACAGTCAAAGTGACCTCAGGTAGACAGTCAAAGTGATCTCGGTTAGACAGTCTGTTTTCTTGAAGAAAAACACCAATGTTTCATAGAACATTGATAAAAGGATTTAAATACATCGTTATATATTTTTCAGATACAGAATATCAACAGTTTCAGTGGCATAGGTGAATGTGAGTATCGTAACCTCAGTGTATCTTGTTTATTTCAAACAAACGCAGTTCCTTGTTATAAACTAGACATCCTTAACTGTACTTCCTAATAACTGCTGTAAAAACAAATCCATCTGTAGGTTTAGTTATCCTCCATTTTCCGAGAGACGGTATACTATTCTCTTCCTTTTCTCACAGCTTGTCAAAATACATTTCGTAAATGTCTTACCTCCTAAATCTGATGTGTCTCCCAGACCACCTGCTGCCTCTTCCCTAAACCATATCTGTGTCTCCCAGCCCACCTGCTGCTTCTACCTCAACCATACCTGTGTCTCCCAGCCCACCTGCTGCCTCTACCTCAACCATATCTTTGTCTCACACCCCACCTGCTGCTTCTACCTCAAACATACCTGTGTCTCACAGCCCACCTGCTGCTTCTACCTCAACCATACCTGTGTCTCCCAGCCCACCTGCTGCTTCTACCTCAACCATACCTGTGTCTCCCAGCCCACCTGCTGCCTTCTACCTCAACCATACCTGTGTCTCCCAGCCCACCTGCTGCTTCTATCTCAACCATATCTGTGTCTCACAGCCCACCTGCTGCTTCTACCTCAACCATACCTGTGTCTCCCAGCCCACCTGCTGCTTCTATCTCAAACAATATCTGTGTCTCACAGCCCACCTGCTGCTTCTACCTCAACCATACCTGTGTCTCCCAGCCCACCTGCTGCTTCTACCTTAACCATATCTGTGTCTCCCAGCCCACCTGCTGCTTCTACCTCAACCATACCTGTGTCTCCCAGCCCACCTGCTGCTTCTACCTCAACCATACCTGTGTCTCACAGCCCACCTGCTGCCTCTATCTCAACCATATCTGTGTCTCCCAGTCCACCTGCTGCTTCTACCTCAACCATACCTGTGTCTCCAAGCCCACCTGCTGCTTCTACCTCAACCATACCTGTGTCTCCCAACCTAACTGCTGCGTCTACCTTAACCATACAGCTGTGTCTCCTCAGCCCACCTGCTCCTTTCTACCTACTAACCATACCTGTGTCTCCCAGCCTACCTCCCCAGTCTAACTTTGCTATACCTCAACCATACCTGTGTCTCCAGCCCACCTGATGGTTCTACCTCAACCATACCTGTGTCTCCCGGCCCAACAGCTGCTTTTACCTCAACCATATCTGTGTCTCCCGGCCCAGCTGCTGCTTCTACTTCAACCACACCTGTGTCTCACAGCCCACCTGCTGCTTCTACTTCAACCATATCTGTGTCTCCCAGCCCACCTGCTGCTTCTACCTCAAACCATATCTGTGTCTCCCAGCCCACCTGCTGCTTCTACCTCAACCATACCTGATCTCCCGGCCCACCTGCTACTTCTACCTCAACCATATCTGTATCTCCCAACCACCTGCTCTTCTACCTCCCAGTCTAACTGTTGCGTATACCTCAACCATACCTGTGTCTTCCAGCCCACCTGATGGTTCTACCTCAACCATACCTGTGTCTCCCGGCCCAACAGCTGCTTTTACCTCAACCATATCTGTGTCTCCCGGCCTAACTGCTGCTTCTACCTCAACCATACCTGTGTCTCCAGCCCACCAGCTGCTTCTTCCACCTCAACCATACCTGTGTCTCCTAGCCCTACGGTTGCTTCCTCTACCTCAACCATACCTGTGTCTCCAGCCCACCAGCTGCTTCTTCCACCTCAACCATACCTGTGTCTCCTAGCCCTACGGCTGCTTCGTCTACCTCAACCATACCTGTGTCTCCAGCCCACCAGCTGCTTCTTCTACCTCAACCATATCTGTGTCTCCCAGCCTTCCTGCTGTTTCTTCTACCTCCCAGTCTAACTGTTGCGTATACCTCAACCATACCTGTGTCTCCCAGCCCACCTGATGGTTCTACCTCAACCATACCTGTGTCTCCCAGCCCAACGGCTGCTTCTTCTACCTCAACCATACCTGTGTCTCCAGGCCCATCTGCTGCTTCTACCTCAGCCATATCTGTGCCTCCGGGCCCAGCTGCTGGTTCTACCCTAAACATATCTTTGTCTGACGACCCAGCTGCTGCTTCTACCTCAACCATACCTGTGTCTCCCAGCCCAACGGCTGCTTCTTCTACCTCAACCATATCTGTGTCTCCCAGTCTTCCTGCTGTTTCTTCTACTTCCCAGTCTAACTGTTGCCCACCTGTGTATACCTCAACCATACCTGTGTCTCCCAGCCCACCTGATGGTTCTACCTCTACCATATCTGTGTCTCCTGGCCTAACTGCTGCTTTTACCTCAACAATACCTGTGTCTCCCAGCCCAGCCCAACAGCTGCTGGTTCTATCTCATCCCATATCTGTGTCTCCCAGCCCACCAGCTGCTTCTTCTACTCTCAACCATAACTGTGTCTCCCCAGCCAACCAGCTGCTTCTTCTACCTCAACCATACCTGTGTCTCCCAGCCAACCAGCTGCTTCTTCTACCTCAACCATATCTGTGTCTCCCAGCCCAACGGCTGCTTCTTCTACCTCAACCATATCTGTGTCTCCCAACCTTCCTGCTGTTTCTTCTACCTCCCAGTCTAACTGTTGCGTATACCTCAACCATACCTGTGTCTCCCAGCCCACCTGATGGTTCTACCTCTACCATATCTGTGTCTCCTGGCCTAACTGCTGCTTCTACCTCAGTGTCTCCCGGCCCAACAGCTGCTTCTTCTATCTCATCCATATCTGTGTCTCCCAGCCCACCAGCTGCTTCTTCTACCTCAACCATACCTGTGTCTCCCAGCCAACCAGCTGCTTCTTCTACCTCAACCATACCTGTGTCTCCCAGCCCACCAGCTGCTTCTTCTATCTCATCCATATCTGTGTCTCCCAGCCCACCAGCTGCTTCTTCTACCTCAACCATACCTGTGTCTCCCAGCCAACCAGCTGCTTCTTCTACCTCAACCATACCTGTGTCTCCCAGCCCACCAGCTGCTTCTTCTACCTGAACGATACCTGTGTCTCCAGGCCCATCTGCTGCTTCTACCTCAGCCATATCTGTGCCTCCGGGCCCAGCTGCTGGTTCTACCCTAAACATATCTTTGTCTGACGACCCAGCTGCTGCTTCTACCTCAACCATACCTGTGTCTCCCAGCCCAACGGCTGCTTCTTCTACCTCAACCATATCTGTGTCTCCCAGTCTTCCTGCTGTTTCTTCTACCTCCCAGTCTAACTGTTGCGTATACCTCAACCATACCTGTGTCTCCCAGCCCACCTGATGGTTCTACCTCTACCATATCTGTGTCTCCTGGCCTAACTGCTGCTTCTACCTCAACCATACCTGTGTCTCCCAGCCCACCTGATGGTTCTACCTCTACCATATCTGTGTCTCCTGGCCTAACTGCTGCTTCTACCTCAACCATACCTGTGTCTCCCGGCCCAACAGCTGCTTCTTCTATCTCATCCATATCTGTGTCTCCCAGCCCACCAGCTGCTTCTTCTATCTCATCCATATCTGTGTCTCCCAGCCCACCAGCTGCTTCTTCTACCTCAACCATACCTGTGTCTCCCAGCCAACCAGCTGCTTCTTCTACCTCAACCATACCTGTGTCTCCCAGCCCACCAGCTGCTTCTTCTACCTGAACGATACCTGTGTCTCCAGGCCCATCTGCTGCTTCTACCTCAGCCATATCTGTGCCTCCGGGCCCAGCTGCTGGTTCTACCCTAAACATATCTTTGTCTGACGGCCCAGCTGCTGCTTCTACCTCAAGCATACCTGTGTCTCCAGGCCCATCTGCAGCTTTTACATTAAGGATACCTGTGTCTCACGGCCTAGCTGTTGCTTCTACCTCAACCATATCTGTGTCTCCCGGCCCGGCTGCAGCTTCTACATCAAGGACACCTATGTCTCACGGCCCAGCTGTTGCTTCTACTTCAACCATATCTGTGTTTCCCGGCCCAGCTGCTGCTTCTACGTCAAGCATACCTGTGTCTCCCAGCCCAGCTGCTGCTTCTACCTCAACCATTCCTGTGTCTCCCAGCCCACCTGCTGCTTCTTCTACCTCAAACATACCTGTGTCTCCCGGCCCATCTGCAGCTTTTACATTAAGGATACCTGTGTCTCCCAGCCTAACTGCTGCGTGTACCTCAACCATAACTTTGTCTCCCAGCCCACCTGCTGCTTCTATCTAATCCATACCTGTGTCTCCCAGCCCACCTGCTGCTGCTTCTACCTCGACCATATCTGTGTTTCCCAGCCTAATTGCTTCTTCCACCTCAACCATACCTGTGTCTCCTAGCCCTACGGTTGCTTCGTCTACCTCAACCATACCTGTGTCTCCAGCCCACCAGCTGCTTCTTCTACCTCAACCATATCTGTGTCTCCCAGCCTTCCTGCTGTTTCTTCTACCTCCCAGTCTAACTGTTGCGTATACCTCAACCATACCTGTGTCTCCCAGCCCACCTGATGGTTCTACCTCAACCATACCTGTGTCTCCCAGCCCAACGGCTGCTTCTTCTACCTCAACCATATCTGTGTCTCCCAACCTTCCTGCTGTTTCTTCTACCTCCCAGTCTAACTGTTGCGTATACCTCAACCATACCTGTGTCTCCCAGCCCACCTGATGGTTCTACCTCTACCATATCTGTGTCTCCTGGCCTAACTGCTGCTTCTACCTCAACAATACCTGTGTCTCCCGGCCCAACAGCTGCTTCTTCTATCTCATCCATATCTGTGTCTCCCAGCCCACCAGCTGCTTCTTCTACCTCAACCATACCTGTGTCTCCCAGCCCACCAGCTGCTTCTTCTACCTCAACCATACCTGTGTCTCCCATCCCACCAGCTGCTTCTTCTATCTCATCCATATCTGTGTCTCCCAGCCCACCAGCTGCTTCTTCTACCTCAACCATACCTGTGTCTCCCAGCCAACCAGCTGCTTCTTCTACCTCAACCATACCTGTGTCTCCCAGCCCACCAGCTGCTTCTTCTACCTGAACGATACCTGTGTCTCCAGGCCCATCTGCTGCTTCTACCTCAGCCATATCTGTGCCTCCGGGCCCAGCTGCTGGTTCTACCCTAAACATATCTTTGTCTGACGACCCAGCTGCTGCTTCTACCTCAACCATACCTGTGTCTCCCAGCCCAACGGCTGCTTCTTCTACCTCAACCATATCTGTGTCTCCCAGTCTTCCTGCTGTTTCTTCTACCTCCCAGTCTAACTGTTGCGTATACCTCAACCATACCTGTGTCTCCCAGCCCACCTGATGGTTCTACCTCTACCATATCTGTGTCTCCTGGCCTAACTGCTGCTTCTACCTCAACCATACCTGTGTCTCCCAGCCCACCTGATGGTTCTACCTCTACCATATCTGTGTCTCCCGGCCCAACAGCTGCTTCTTCTATCTCATCCATATCTGTGTCTCCCAGCCCACCAGCTGCTTCTTCTACCTCAACCATACCTGTGTCTCCCAGCCAACCAGCTGCTTCTTCTACCTCAAGCATACCTGTGTCTCCCAGCCCACCAGCTGCTTCTTCTATCTCATCCATATCTGTGTCTCCCAGCCCACCAGCTGCTTCTTCTACCTCAACCATACCTGTGTCTCCCAGCCAACCAGCTGCTTCTTCTACCTCAACCATACCTGTGTCTCCCAGCCCACCAGCTGCTTCTTCTACCTGAACGATACCTGTGTCTCCAGGCCCATCTGCTGCTTCTACCTCAGCCATATCTGTGCCTCCGGGCCCAGCTGCTGGTTCTACCCTAAACATATCTTTGTCTGACGACCCAGCTGCTGCTTCTACCTCAAGCATACCTGTGTCTCCCGGCCCATCTGCAGCTTTTACATTAAGGATACCTGTGTCTCACGGCCTAGCTGTTGCTTCTACCTCAACCATATCTGTGTCTCCCGGCCCGGCTGCAGCTTCTACATCAAGGACACCTGTGTCTCACGGCCCAGCTGTTGCTTCTACCTCAACCATATCTGTGTTTCCCGGCCCAGCTGCTGCTTCTACGTCAAGCATACCTGTGTCTCCCAGCCCAGCTGCTGCTTCTACCTCAACCATTCCTGTGTCTCCCAGCCCACCTGCTGCTTCTTCTACCTCAAACATACCTGTGTCTCCCGGCCCATCTGCAGCTTTTACATTAAGGATACCTGTGTCTCCCAGCCTAACTGCTGCGTGTACCTCAACCATAACTTTGTCTCCCAGCCCACCTGCTGCTTCTATCTAATCCATACCTGTGTCTCCCAGCCCACCTGCTGCTGCTTCTACCTCGACCATATCTGTGTTTCCCAGCCTAATTGCTTCTTCTACCTCAACCATATGCATACCTGTGTCTGACGGCCCACCTGCGTCTTCTACCTCAACCATACCTGTTTCTCCCAGCCCACCTGCTTCTTTTTCTTCAACAACACCTGTGGCTCCTGGCCCTACTATTGCTTCTTCTACCTCAACCATACCTGTGTCCCCAAGCCCACCTGCTGCTTTTTCTGCCTGAACTATACCTGGGTCTCCGAACCCACCTACCGCTTCTCCTACCTCAACCATATCTGTGTCTCCCAGCCTAACTGCTTCTTCTACCTCAGCCATACCTGTGTCTCCCAGCCCACCTGCTGCTTCTACTTCAACAACACCTGTGGCTCCCAGCCCTACTATTGCTTCTTCTACCTCAACCATACCTGTGTCCCCAAGCCCATCTGCTGCTTCTTCTGCCCGAACTATACCTGGGTCTCCCAACCCACCTACTGCTTCTTCTTAAACCAAACCTGTGTCTCCCAGCCCAACTGCTGCTTCTTCTACCTGATACATACTTGTGTCTCCCAGCCCACCTGCTGCTTCTACTTCAACAACACCTGTGGCTCCCAGCCCTACTATTGCTTCTTCTACCTCAACCATACCTGTGTCTCACGGCCTACCTGCTACTTCTACCTCAACCATATCTGTGTCTCACGGCCCACCTGCTGCTTCTACTTCAACAACACCTGTGGCTCCTGGCCCTACTATTGCTTCTTCTACCTCAACCATACCTGTGTCTCCCAGCCTACCTGCTGCTTCTTCTGCCCGAACTATACCTGGGTCTCCCAACCCACCTACTGCTTCTTCTTAAACCAAACCTGTGTCTTCCGGCCCACCTACTGCTTCTTCTTAAACCAATCCTGGGTCTCCCAACCCACCTACTGCTTCTTCTTAAACCAAACCTGTGTCTCCCAGCCCAACTGCTGCTTCTTCTACACCCCATCGTTTTACTGGATCAAGTGTTGAACTGTTACTGTGTCCTACCTGATTGCATTGGCCTCTGTGCCCCCGGACTGTTAGATTTAAACAACATCAACTTGCCAGTATTTTGCACACTGCATGAGTGGTTCACTTCTTGTACCTACTGTGGTTGACCTTGTTCCTCCACCCCGTACATGTTCTAGCCTTGTTCCGCCCACCACATCCAGGTATTTGTATGTAACGATATGTATCCTCATAATGCCAGACCCTCCTCCACGCGACGTTAAGGTTATCCGGAGTGTCTTCAACACAGTCCGCATCTCCTGGGTCACAGCCCCCAGCTGCTACAACGTCAGCGAGCTCTGGATCACCTACACAGGGGCCGCCACCAAGGAGAAGATCCATCGTCTCAGCACCTTCTATGACCTGACTGGCCTAACACCGGAATCTAACTACACAGCCCATCTTATTACGGGCTACAGCGGGGAGATGAGCGACCCCATCGAGTTCCGCTTCAGAACAGGTGTGTAGATGTAGGATTTATCATCCCGAACTGGAGATATTGCTTGTATGAGATTAAATGAAATATCTTAGGAGATATCGTTTTCACAGTAGATTTTGTACAATGCACTGACGTAAAAAACCTAATTATATCACAATGCTGTGACATCACTACACTGTAAGTCAAATGACAGCTCAGGTTTCAGAGATTTTTTCTGATAAATAGAATCTCATACGAGTGTCTTTTGATACCAAATATATCCAAAGACACTCGGGTGGGATTCTCTATATGTTACACATAATATTAGACATACGTTCTTAAACCCACGAAATATAGGATGTATTACGTGTTAAACAAACTTCACTTGTAAAACTGCAACAGCTAAACATATTGCATGTGATCGTTCTATTCGGCCTTGTTCACACAGACGGGTCTTGATAAACACCGATCTTATACAGCCGCTTCTGGCACTAGCTAACAGACGCTGCGAATAGCCAGTATATTGGCATTTACAGATGCCCTTTAGTTACTTACAAACAGTGAAGAGAGTGTATCACAATACTTATCAATGAATTGACTGACGTTGCGTATCATGTGTCTCATAAGGATATAGGATCACATGTTTATTGCATTGTATTGCACTTTGTTATGTCAAACTGCAAGGGCTTGTTGGTAAGTATGGCACTGCCTAATCGGTAACACTTTAATAAACTAAATATCCTTTCTACTCCTTTATATTCTCACCATTCTCTTCCATTTTATTCTCCCCAGTTTTCTTCTATTCCTATTCTCCTCCTTCTTCTTGCTTCATGTTTGTCATTTTCTCCTCAGCCTTCTCTACTCTAGTCATCTCTTCTTTATCATCTTCCATCTACATTTTTTCTCCTCCATTTCTTGGTCTTCGTTGGTTTCTTTTTTTTCTCATTTTATTCTTCATCTCTTTCTTCATCTTTTCCTCCTTCTCCACATCCTTCTTCATCTTCTTTCCTTTGCATCCCCCTTCCTACCTCACTTTCAACACCTCTAATCCCCCTCCTCCTTCATCATCTTCGTGGTAAGATCCGTAGACGGAAGAAGGTGCTGATTGTCTATCAATACGTAGTGCTGGGCAGCAAGAACTCAAGCCAAAGAGGACGCACAATGTTTGGCTGACTCAGAATGTACTAAACGGACAAAGGAGATATATGTCGGTACACTTCACAAACATTCTGGCACAATTATGTTTTGTCAGGTAACTATGAGAACCCTATTGAAGTGTTGCCCGCTTTGACCAAGATTTACACTACTGGGCAGAAGAAAGTATACCACCATGTGCGATAGTGTTTCACTTGAAACAAATGAGAAAAGGTTGTTCAATGGTGAATAGTTTAATCTGTCATCGTAGTTGTGATGTGAGCCTCAAATGTGTACATTGTCTGTGTCCTATCTCTACCCTGTGTCTGACACCAAGTACAACATTATCTGTATCCTGTCTCTACCCGCTGTTTGACACCACGTACAACATTATCTGTATCCTGTCTCTACTCTGTATCTGGCACCACGTACAACATTATCTGTATCCTATCTCCACCCTGTGTCTGGCACCACGTATAACATTATCTGTATCCCATCTGTACCCTGTGTCTGACACCACGTACAGCACTATCTGTATCCTATCTCTACCCTGTGTCTGACACCACGTACAACACTATCTGTATCCTGTCTCCACCCTGTGTCTGACACCACGTACAACACTATCTGTATCCTGTGTCCACTCTGTGTCTGGCACCACGCACAACATTATCTGTATCCTATCTCTACCCTGTGTCTGACACCACGTACAACATTATCTGTATCCTGTCTCTACCTTGTGTCTGACACCACGTGCAGCACTATCTGTATCCTATCTCTACCCTGTGTCTGACACCACGTACAACACTATCTGTATCCTGTCTCCACCCTGTGTCTGACACCACGTACAACACTATCTGTATCCTGTGTCCACTCTGTGTCTAGCACCACGCACAACATTATCTGTATCCTATCTCTACCCTGTGTCTGACACCACGTACAACATTATCTGTATCCTGTCTCTGCCCGGTGTCTGACACCACGTACAGCATTATCTGTATCCTGTCTCTACTCTGTGTCTGACACCACGTACAACACTATTTGTATCCTGTCTGTACCTTGTGTCTGACACCACGTACAGCATTATCTGTATCCTGTCTCTACTCTGTGTCTGGCACCACGTACAAAGTTATCTGTATCCTGTCTCTACCCGGTGTCTGACACCACGTACAGCATTATCTGTATCCTGTCTCTACTCTGTGTCTGGCACCACGTACAACACTATTTGTATCCTGTCTCCACTCTGAGTCTGGCACCACGTATAACATTATCTGTATCCTATCTCTACCTTGTGTCTGACATCACGTACAACATTATCTGTATCCTGTCTCCACTCTGTGTCTGGCACTACGTACAGCACTATCTGTATCCTATCTCTACCCTGTGTCTGACATTACGTACAACATTATCTGTATCCTGTCTCTACCCTGTGTCTGACACCACGTACAACATTATCTGTATCCTGTCTTTACCTTGTGTCTGACACCACGTACAGCATTATCGGTATCCTGTCTCTACCGTGTTTCTGACACCACGTACAACATTATCTGTATCCTGTCTCTACCTTGTGTCTGACACCACGTACAACATTATCTGTATCCTGTCTCCACTCTGTGTCTGACACCACGTACAACACTATCTGTATCCTGTCTCCACTCTGTGTCTGACACCACGTACAACATTATCTGTATCCTGTCTCTACCCTGTGTCTGACACCACGTACAACATTATCTGTATCCTGTCTTTACCTTGTGTCTGACACCACGTACAGCATTATCGGTATCCTGTCTCTACCGTGTTTCTGACACCACGTACAACATTATCTGTATCCTGTCTTTACCTTGTGTCTGACACCACGTACAGCATTATCTGTATCCTGTCTCTACTCTGTGTCTGGCACCACGTACAACGTTATCTGTATCCTGTCTCTACCCGGTGTCTGACACCACGTACAGCATTATCTGTATCCTGTCTCTACTCTGTGTCTGGCACCACGTACAACACTATTTGTATCCTGTCTCCACTCTGGCACCACGTCTGGCACCACGTACAACACAACATTATCTGTATCCTGTCTCCACTCTGTGTCTGGCACTACGTACAGCACTATCTGTATCCTATCTCTACCCTGTGTCTGACATTACGTACAACATTATCTGTATCCTGTCTCTACTCTGTGTCTGACACCACGTACAACATTATCTGTATCCTGTCTCTACCCTGTGTCTGACACCACGTACAACACTATCTGTATCCTGTCTCTACCTTGTGTCTGACACCACGTACAACATTATCTGTATCCTGTCTCTACTCTGTGTCTGGCACCACGTACAACATTATCTGTATCCTGTCTCTACCCTGTGTCTGACACCACGTACAACATTATCTGTATCCTGTCTCTACTCTGTGTCTGGCACCCACGTACAACACACTGTCTGTCTCTACCACGTACACCACGCACTCTGTATCCTGTCTCTACCTTGTGTCTGACACCACGTACAACATTATCTGTATCCTGTCTCCACCTTGTGTCTGACACCACGTACAACATTATCTGTATCCTGTCTCCACTCTGTGTCTGACACCACGTACAACACTATCTGTATCCTGTCTCTACCCTGTGTCTGACACCACGTACAACATTATCTGTATCCTGTCTCCACTCTGTGTCTGACACCACGTACAACACTATCTGTATCCTGTCTCCACTCTGTGTTGTACCACGTACAACATTATCTGTATCCTGTCTCTACCCTGTGTCTAACACCACGTACAACATTATCTGTATCCTGTCTCCACCCTGTGTCTGACACCACGTACAACATTATCTGTATCCTGTCTCCACTCTGTGTCTGGCACTACGTACAGCACTATCTGTATCCTATCTCTACCCTGTGTCTGACACCACGTACAACATTATCTGTATCCTGTCTCCACCCTGTGTCTGACACCACGTACAACATTATCTGTATCCTGTCTCTACCCTGTGTCTGACACCACGTACAACATTATCTGTATCCTGTCTCCACTCTGTGTTTGGTATCACGTACAACATTATCTGTATCCTATCTCTACCTTGTGTCTCACACCACGTACAACATTATCTGTATCCTATCTCTACCTTGTGTCTGACACCACGTACAACAATATCTGTATCCTGTCTACACTCTGTGTCTGCCACTACGTACAGCACTATCTGTATCCTATCTCTACCCTGTGTCTGACACCACGTACAACATTATCTGCATCCTGTCTCCACCCTGTGCCTGACACCACGTACAACACTATCTGTATCCTGTCTCTACTCTGTTTCTGGCACCACGTACAACACTTTCTGTATCCTGTCTTCACTCTGCGTCTCACACCACGTACAACACTATCTGTATCCTATCTCTACCCTGTGTCTAACACCACGTACAACACTATCTGTATCCTATCTCTCCCCTCTGTCTGACACCACGTACAACATTATCTGTATCCTGTCTCCACTCTGTGTCTGGCACCACGTACAACACTATCTGTATCCTATTCTTCTACCCTGTGTCTGGCACCACGTACAACATTATCTGTATCCTGTCTCTACCTTGTGTCTGACACCACGTACAACATTATCTGTATCCTGTCTCCACTCTGTGTCTGGCACTACGTACAGCACTATCTGTATCCTATCTCTACCCTGTGTCTGACACCACGTACAACATTATCTGTATCCTGTCTCCACCCTGTGTCTGACACCACGTACAACATTATCTGTATCCTGTCTCTACTCTGTGTCTGGGACCACGTACAACACTTTCTGTATCCTGTCTCCACTCTGCGTTTCTCACACCACGTACAACACTATCTCTATCCTATCTCTACCCTGTGTCTAACACCACGTACAACACTATCTGTATCCTATCTCTCCCCTC